TAATTTTCACTGTTTATTCATTGCGGATGAAAACTGGAACTTTCTTATAAAAACCAGCGCTTTCTATGCTTTTCAGTCTGGAATATAACTGCTTTTAACCGTTTCCCAAATTCCAATCCAGAATATCTGTCATGGTTCTGGAATTCGATTCTCCTCTTTTCTTGTTCTGGAAAAAGAGAGAAAAAAGCGAAAAAATTTTTCCTCAGCAAAAACCAGCCCAACAAGCTTCCACCCTCCACCTTTTTTCTTACTCTTGAGATCACCTCAATCAAGTTGCCCAACCACCTTTAAGCCCAAATTCCCATCCCCAATTCTTCCTCTCCTTTCTCCCCCAATCCCATTTCCCCTCACATGTTAAAGCTGAACAGAGGGAGAGACCAGTGGTGGAGTCAAGCCCCACACCGGCGTCTTCAGACCCAGAAACGAGATCAAAGACAACCTGGTGATTGTTCTTGTTCACCCGTCTTCAATCTTGGGTGGGTGTCAGCCTTTCCTAAAAGTGGCTGGAAGGGTACAGGGCTGTGACCTTTGACATGCGTGGGAGGGTTTGCAGAAACCATTATGTGATTGCTGTCTGTAAGTGGGCCAACAGGAATATTTAGTTTCTGTGCAAATAATAGAATAGTTGTTTTGGGCACTAATTGGATTGGATTGTTGGTGGGTTCTTCAGCAGGTATGGTCTCTTTCTTATGTTTTGTTGTTTTCATCTGTAGATCAAATATGATTATTGTTAGGATAGTGGTTTTGGGCATTAATTGGATTGTTTGTCTGATGAGTTTTTTTATGTATGATTTGTTTTAGATCTATGAAATGAGTGTTGGGTTGCTGTAGTTATAAATCTATCCAAGAGGAGAACTCTAAAAAGGAGAGGAGAGCAGAAATGGTGGGAAGCAATGGTTTTGGGGACAATTGGATCATCCTTTTGTTGGTAAGGGTGGGTGATTGAATCATTGTGTAGCTTTTTACTGCTCCAGTACCATTTAATCTTTCATCTGGTTGTTGTATTGTGAGGCTTGTTCTTTTGGGTGTGGGGTGGGGGAGGAATTGAATGTTTCTAACTTGGTTTGTGTATGAAATTGATTTGAACTTAAGATCTTCTCTTTAGATATGCATTTTCATTTTTCTGACAGAAGTGTTGTGATTTAGGGAAAAAGTCGCTCTAGTTTTATGGGTACAGTGCCAAAGTGTTTCAGTGGTCCAATTCTACAC